AGTTTTCAAATCAACAAAAGTAATAAAAAACAAAGGTGGTCAGTATATAATGGTGAAGGGTACAGTTCAACAAGAAGACATAACAATTCTAAATATATATGCACCCAACCTTGGTACACCCAGATTCATAAATCAAACTCTACTGGATCTAAACAAATGGATAAACAACAACACCATAATAGTCGGAGATTTTAACACCCCACTGACAGCACAGGACAGATCCTCCAAACAGAAAATCAAGAAAGAAATAATGGACTTAAACAGAACCCTAGAACAAATGGGACTGACTGACATTTACAGGACATTCTACCCCAAAACCACTGAATATACGTTCTTCTCATCAGCTCATGGGTCATTCTCTAAGATTGACCATATCCTAGGACACAAAGCACGTCTCAAACAACTTAAAAAAACAGAAATTATACCATGTATCTTTGCAGACCACAAAAGAATAAATGTAGAAATCAATCCTAACAGGAGTCCTCATGTCTACACAAAGTCATGGAAACTAAACAACCTTCTGCTGAATGATCATTTCATAAACGAGGAAATCAAGATGGAAATCAAAAGATTCTTTGACCTAAAGACAAAGGTGACACAAGTTACCAAAAGCTGTAGGACACAGTTAAAGCAGTCCTGAGAGGAAAGTTCATTTCCATAAATGCCTATATCCAAAAGTCGAAAAGATCACAAATAGACAACCTAATGAATCGTCTCAAAGAACTGGAAAAAGAAGAACAGACCAACCCCAAACCCAGCAGAAGAAGTGAAATCATTAAGATCAAATCAGAACTAAACAAAATTGACAACAGGGAAACTATACGGAAGATTGATAAAACAAAAAGTTGGTTATTTGAAAAAATAAACAAAATCGACACACCATTGGCTAGACTAACGAAAAGTAGAAAAATCTCTAATATGCTCCATCAGGAACAATAAAGGAGAAATTACAACTGATGCCATGGAGATACAAGATATAATTTATGAATACTACAAAAACCTCTGGAAAATGTGGAGGAAATGGACAATTTCTTAGAAACACACAGCCTCCCTAGGCTCAACCAGGAAGAAATAGAATTCCTGAGCAGACCAATATCAAATACTGAAATTGAAACAGCAATAAAAAACCTTCCTAAAAAGAAAAGTCCTGGACAAGATGGTTTCACACCTGAATTTTACCACACCTACAAAGAATAACTGGTGCCTATCCTGCAGGAATTATTCCACAACATCGAGAAAGACGGAATGCTCCCCAACACATTTTATGAAGCAAACATAACCCTGATACCAAAACCAGGTAAGGATGCAACAAAAAAAGAAAACTATAGACCAATATCCCTTATGAATATAGATGCAAAAATTCTCAACAAAATCCTAGCCAATCGAATCGAGGAGGTGCTTGTCAAGAAAATAATTCATCACAACCCAGTGGGCTTCCTCCCAGGGATGCAGGGATGGTTCAACATACGCAAATCTATAAATGTAATTCACCATACAAAGAGAAGCAAAAACAAACACCATATGATCCTCTCAATAGATGCAGAGAAAGCATCTGACAAAATTCAACACCCTTTTATGATAAGAACGCTCAACAAAATAGGCATAGACGGGGCTTACCTAAAAATGATACAAGCCATATATGACAAACCAACAGGCAATATCATACTGAATGGGGAAAAATTGAAAGCATTCCCGCTTAGAACTGGAACCAGACAAGGTTGCCCACTATCTCCATTTCTATTCAACATAGTGCTGGAAGTCCTCGCTACAGCAATCAGACGAGAGAGCAGAATTAAGGGCGTCCAAATGGGAGCAGAAGAGATCAAACTCTCACTCTTTGCTCATGGCATGATATTATACCTAGAAAACCCCAAGGATTCAACCAAGGGACTCCTTGAACTGATAAATGAATTTGGTAAAGTCTCAGGATACAAAATCAATGCACAGAAATCAGAGGCATTCATATACGCCAACAACCGTAAAAGTGAGAACCAAATCAAAGACTCAATTCTCTTCAAAATAGCAACAAAGAAAATAAAGTACCTTGGAATATATTTAACTAAGGAGGTAACAGACCTCTACAGGGAGAACAACAGACTTCTACAGGGAGAACTATGAAACAATGAAGAAAGAAATAGCAGAGGATGTAAACAAGTGGAAGAATATACCATGCTCATGGGTCAGCAGAATCAACATTGTTAAAATGTCCATACTACCCAAAGTGACCTACAGAGTCAATGCAATCCCTATCAAAATACCATCTTCATTTTTCACAGATATAGAAAAAATAATTTCATGCTTCATATGGAACCAGAGAAGATCCCGTATGGCAAAATCAATCCTAGGCAATAAAAACAAAATAGGAGGTATCAATTACCAGATTTCAAACTATACTACAAGGCTACAGTCATTAAAACAGCTTTTTATTGGCACAAGAACAGGGACATTGACCAGTGGAACAGAGCAGAGAACCCAGATATAAAACCATCCTCATATAGCCCAGTAATCTTTGACACAGCAGAGAAAAACATACACTGGGGAAAAGAATCCTTATTCAATAAATGGTGCTGGGAAAACTGGATAGCCACATGCCGAAGACTAAAACAAGACCCACACCTTTCACCTCTCACAAAAATCAACTCACGCTGGGTAACAGACTTGAACATTATGTGTGAAACTATTAGAATTCTAGAGGAAAACGTTGGAAATATTCTTCTAGACATTGGCGTAGGCAAAGAATTTACGAAGAAGACCCCAAAGGCAATCACAGCAGCAAGAAAAAAAAATAAATGGGACCTGATCAAATTAAAAAGCTTCTGCACACCCAAAGAAACTGTCAAGAGAGCAAACAGACAACCCACAGAATGGGAGAAAATTTTCGCAAGCTACACATCCAATAAAGGGCTGATAAGTAGAATTTATTTATTTATTTATTTTTGAGACAGAGTCTGGCTTTGTTGCCCAGGCTAGAGTGAGTGCCATGGCGTCAGCTTAACTCACAGCAACCTCAAACTCCTGGGCTTAAGCAATCCTGCTGCCTCAGCCTCCCAAGTAGCTGGGACTACAGGCACGTGCCACCATGCTCGGCTAATTTTTTCTATATATATATTAGTTGGCCAATTAATGTCTTTCTATAGTAGAGATGGGGTCTCGCTCTTGTTCTGACTGGTTTCAAACTCCCGACCTCGAGCAATCCACCTGCCTCAGCCTCCCAGAGTGCTAGGATTACATGCATGAGCCAACGCACCTGGCCTAGAATTTATTGAGAACTCAGGAATATCAGCAAGAAAAAATCAAACAACCCTATCAAAAAGTGGGCAAAGGACATGAACACAAATTTTTCAAAAGAAGACAGAATAAAGGCCAACAGACATATGAAGAAATGCTCAACATCTCTAATCATCAGGGAAATGGAAATCAAAACTGCAATGGGATATCACTTATCTCCAGTAAGAATAGCCTTTATCAAAAAGTCCCCAAACAATAAATGTTGGCGTGGATGTGGAGAAATAAGAACACTCCTACACTGCTAGTGGGACTCCCTGTAGAGGTCTTTTACCCCCTTAGTTAAATATATTCCTAGGTACTTTGTTTTCTTTGTTACTATTTTGAAGGGAATTGAGTCTTTGACTTGGTTCAGCCAAATCACAAAGTGGTTCAGCCTCTGTGGAAAGCAATATGGAGATACCTTAAAGCAATACAAGTAGATCTACCATGTGATCCAGCAATTCCACTACTGGACATCTACCCAAAAGATCAAATGACACTCTACAAATGGGACACCTGCACTTGAATGTTTATAGCAGCACTGTTCACAATCGCAAAGGTGTGGAAACAACCCAGGTGCCCATCCATACAGGAGTGGATTAATAAAATGTGGTATATGTATACCATGGAGTACTATTCACCTTTAAGACACAATGGTGACATAGCACCTCTTGTATTTTCCTGGATAGAGCTGGAACTCATTCTACTAAGTGATGTATCTCAAGAATGGAAAAACAAGCACCACATGTACTCACCAGCAAATTTGTATTAACGGATCAACACTTAAGTGGACATATAAGAATAACATTTATTGGGTGTCAGGCTGGTGGGAAAAGGGAGTGGGGGCATGAGCAATATATGTAACCTTAACATTTGTACCCCCATAATATGCTGAAATAAAAAAAATAATAATAAAAAAAAAGCAAGTTAAGATGAAATAAAGTATATTAAGAGAAAAAAAAATTTAACCTAAGATAGAAAATGTAAGATAATGAGAAAGTTGTCAAAGATCTTCCCCACAATGGCCTCTGCATCGGCTTTTATCTCTCAAACTCTTAAGACCAGTGATCTCATTCATTCACACTGACATCTCTAAATCAGACTTTTTGTCTGAGCCTCCATTTCACAATCCAATTGCATGCTGCACTTCTTTGCTTGGAAATCTCCCCATCTCATAAAAATAAATCCCTATGTTCCCAGCCAAATTCATTATCTTTCCTCCTACTAACCTATTCTTTCTTCAGATTGTTTCTATTAAATGCTACCACAACTTTCAGTTACTCAGGCTTGAAAATAAAACTGGAAATGCTTTCCTTTTTGATGGTTTATAAACCTCAGAATAATCCTAAAAATTTAGCAGAATACACCTCCCAAAATAAACTCAGTGTGTCTTGGCAAAAGAATATGTGAATAAATAAATGCACAGATCCTTCAATCTAAAAGGAAATTATAACTAGAAAAGAGAAAAAAGTCTAGATTTTTTTCAACAGAATGAAGCAAACTGTGCAAAACTAAAATGCAAGGACAAGGAGATGCTATGACATTTGGACCTCAAGAATATATACAAAGAGAATAAACCAGGGAGCTCATGCTAAAAATGCCTCAATGTTTCTTCCCAAGCCTTGAGCTTTTAAGAAAGACTACCCAGGAAACATCAATTATGAGCTAAAACCTTTCAGAATAGCTAAGCTTTTCCTGGCAATGGTTTCTAACTTCCTGGTTCTTTCACTCACCAGGGCTTGTGCCTCTTGTTCCCTCCTTCTTCACCATCCAGGGCTCTTGTCCTTGCTCCAATAAAGAGATCACATCTGGCTTAGAAACAGAAACTCCTACTTGCAAAAAATAAAACAGGAATTAGCCAAGTCTATAAATCAGATCAAGTTCATAAGTCATCAGGAAGATGGTGACATTACAGGAGGGAGTTAAGGGAAAGGAAGTATTCTAAAGAATGAAGAAGATGAAGTTGCAGGAATAGTGTAAACGAAGCTGTCAATTCTACAAAATTCAACATATTTTGGGAAACAGGTGTAAGAGAAATTTAGTAAAGCACATCAGATGCTTCCTGAACATTACACTAGAACGCAGTCCTGTGTGCACATTCTGAATTATGGAGAGACCTCCTTACCCAGTGAAACCAGGCTCTTATAGTTCTCCAACATCACCTTCCTGTACAAATTCCTCTGAGCAGGGTTGAGCCATTCCCACTCCTCTTGAGAGAAATTTACAGCCACATCCCCAAATGTCACCAAATTCTGAAATGACATAAACACATTCTTGCTCTATTAGTGTTCATGCCCTCACATAAGCCTAGGTTAAAGAGTTAAATTGTCTATACTTTTAAAGAGAAATATATTGCAAACAGCAAAATTTTCTGGCAGTATCTTGGATTCTGAGTAATGCATGTCTAGTAATTGTTAAATAAGTTCTCTTGGTTTAGTTTTGATATTCTGTCATGTAAAGTATACAATTTCAGAGATAATTCTACTGATATAGAAAAGATTTATAACACATACACAAAATTGGACAATAACAGAACACTTTAAACAATCAACTATAAAATATGTTATTCATAATAAATTCCAGAGCATTTCTCAATATGAGGAAACCAGAACACAACAGAGCTTCAAGGAGGAGACAACCCATGAGTTAAGCCTTATAAGATATACAGGGTCTAAGCTGGCATTTTTCCAAACTGTGTACAATAGAATGGTCAATGTTCCATGGACATTAATATGGTTATATAAAAATATATTTGGTGCTTATAACACAGATTTTCTAAAATTAAATATATATGTAATAGAAACAATAAACATGTTTTATAGTAACTTACAAAAATATGCAATAACAGAGAATAATCAGGAAGTTGAGTGACAGATCATCTTATATATGAAGGTATGCCACTGAATTTGTGCTTGGTAGCAAAGGCAATACTTGCCAACCAACTGTCAAAGGGATGAATGTCATGTCACTAATGACACCATATATGTTACATACTTTATAATGAATATTACATATTTTATGTTCCATTTCATTATACATCCCACAATTCCAACCTGAGTCTTTTGTTTTCTGCATATTAAACATTTATTTTACACAAACTCCTTCTCTGTAGATGGTTTTAAATGAATGGAAGATATATGGTTTAAATTAACAGCAGGATTTAGGTTTCAAAAGATATCTGAATCAAAAAGAACTTTGCATACAGAAAATGAAGTTGATCAAAGCCTTTGCCTTCTAAATCTGAGACAGGGTAAATTAAAATAAATTTCTGAATCCATAAAACCAACACCCAGTAAAAAGAGATCAAAGAGGTTCAATAAAAGTTATTTGAGTTTGGGATGCATTTCCTTTGCTATTAAAAATTGTCCTGAGACTCACTGTGTAAGGGGTAATAAAAGTTTATCTAACAGCTCTTGATAATCCCACTAAGTTTCAAAGACAGTTGGTAATTTATTATGCTACCTGAGAGACAACACTAATTTTAAGTGCTATTAATTAGTGAACATTTCAAAGACTGATGATAAAATGTATCAAAAAATATAGCTCTCATTAGAGGAACATACACAATTGTGCATGTCTAACGAGCAAGAGAGTTTTTAAAATGTTATAATACAGGGCCGGGCGTGGTGGCTCACGCCCGTAATCCTAGCACTCTGGGAGGCTGAGGCAGGCAGATTGCTCGACGTCTGGAGTTCGTAACCAGCCTGAGCAAGAGCAAGACGCCATCTCTACTATAAATAGAAAGACATTAATTGGCCAACTAATATATATATAGAAAAAATTAGCCGGGCATAGTGGTGCATGCCTGTAGTCCCAGCTACTTGGGAGGCTGAGGCAGTAGGATTGCTTGAGCCCAGGAGTTTGAGGTTGCTGTGAGCTAGACTGATGCCACGGCACTTGCTCTAGCCTAGGCAACAAAGCGAGGCTCTGTCTCAAAAAATAAAATAAAATAAAATAAAATAAAATAAAATGTTATAATACAGTTTTCAAATACTACTACTGCATATCCAATTAAGTATCTTTATGATAACATGGAACAAGACTTCATTTGTTCCCAAAAAATTCAAAATAGATGTTCTTCCTACCAAGATAAATATGGTCTAGACTTGACCAGGGCTTGCTGTGTGGTATGGTAAATGCTCCTTAGCTTTGGTATGTCACAGAGCAAGGCCTGCTCTAACATTAGGCTGACATACAGATAGTATTCAATAATATACACCTTAACAGCTGTACCGATTTGTTAAATATTGAAATACCCCCACTGGCTGGTAAATAGCTACTACACCTGCTAGTGGCTACACCAGATTTCCCCAAAATCCAGCAACTGAAGGTTAATGTCTAGTTTGGCAATGGCTTCCAGGATCCCAGGAATGAAGCAGACTGCTAGGTAAAGCTCTTAAAAGACATTTTTCAGCTGCACACATGAACTAATGGATTCCAGGTTTTGAATGTCTGACATTTTCCTTTCAGCCAATGAGAGCTGAATACCTTTTGAATATTTTAATATTTATTTTGATTTGATAAAAATATACATATGATTTTGTCATCATTAAAGAAAATTAGAAAATAATGAGCAGTATTTCTACCCTCAGTGACCTTTTTCCTTTTTAAGTTAAAGAATTAGAAATCTTCTACCTCCACGCCTACCCCTCTATGTAACCCTACCTCCTAGAAGCAATCACAATTAAGTTAGTATATATTTGTCCAAGTGTTTCCATATACAGATATGTCTATGATTATGTGTATATATATTCACTTACCTGTAACATCACTTTTGTTGGCTGGATAAAATTACACGGTATATATATATGACATCTCTTAGTTGATAACCCCGTGCTTATTTTCAGTTAGGTGAATCTTTATTTTTCACCATGATTCTGCAAAGGTCTTTAATTATTTTCTTAAATTTCTATATATTCTCCTCTCCAATGAAACCATGATTTCCCAAACTTACTTACCCTTAGAAAAATTTTTAAATCACAGTATTTTGACCCAGCAAGAACAGGAATTCATGAAAAAATAATTTAGACTGGGAGTAAAGTACTGACGTGTACCAAAGAAAATCCTAACAGGAGTTCTTCAGGTAGAAGGAAACTAAAGGAAATGGAAGGAAAATGGAAGCAAAGAAACACAGGAAGAAATTAAAAGTCCCCAAACAGTTAACTATAGACTAAATATAATAGTAAGAATATCTTGGAGTTAAATCACTATGTCTTATCCTGTTCAGGAAGTGGTAAGAATACTAATACAAGAGGAAGATTACAGAAGCAAGAAAGATTATTACATAATGAGTAATGAATGCATATTATCTTAGAGTAGCCACTGAAAGAACAATAAAAATTATGTAAAATTAATAAGATAATAAAGGAAAATACCTGATTTAACCAAAGGCAAAAAAGGAGAAATAAAGGAACAGAGAGCAGGTAGAATAAATGGAAAACAAATAGAAATATAGTAGGCTTAAGACACATCTATAAATAATTATATTAAATGAAAATGTACTAAAAACTAATTTAAAGACCAAGATTATCAGTCTAGATTTTTAAAAACCAATGAAGTATATGCTGTTTACAAGAAGCATACTTTGAATATAATCTTTAGAAGCAGACATTCCCAAAAGATGAGCACTAAAATCATCGTGGGAAATTCAATAAAAATGTTTTCTTGGGCCCCTCCACCAGAGACTATGATTCAGGAATTCTGGGGTGGGGTCCTAGAAACAGCGTAAGCTCATAGGCTCTATCTATTTTATAAATTATACCCTCAATTTTTTTCCTTCTTCCATTACCAATTCAGGGGCAGAAAAGAAGAGGTGGCTTGCTCCTTCTGTCCTGATCTCACTCACAGATGAGGAATTCATTTCTTTGTTCATTCATATATTTATCTGCCAAATATTGACTGTCTACTACCCACCAGGCACTATTCTAAGAGTCAGGAAGACAAAGGAAAAAAAACAAAGTCCCTGCCTTGTGAAGTTAAAACTCTAACAGAGGAGAAAGACATTAAACATAAGGTCATACAGTGTCAGGTAGTGTTAAATACTGTGACAAAAAATTAAAGAGGGTAAAAGGTGATTAAGAATGACAGGGGTATTAATTGTAGATAAGATGGTCAAAGTAAGCCTAAATTAAGGGGTAATATTTGAACAATAATCTGACTGAAGTGGGACAGCAAGGCATACCAACATGTAGTGGGAAACGAATTTCACAAAAGAGAGGAGCAAATGCAAAAGTTCAGAGACAGGAAGGAGCTTGGCTAGTTTGAGGAACAGCAAGTTCACCAGCATAACTGGAGTTGAGAAAGGTAAAGACTTGTAGAAAATGAGGTCTGGGGTAGTCAGGAACTGAAACACGTAGGGCCTTATAGGCCATGGTAAAGACGTTGAATTTTACTCCAAGTAAGATTGGGAAGCCAATGACAGTTCTGGGCAGTGACTCCCCTGCCACAGAGAATGGGCCACATCACAGTCTCTTCAAAGTATCCTCATTCATTTTCTACCACTCTCTTCGAATCATCACTCAACATCTATGTTACTGGCTCTCAATTTATATTACAACTTTTTACATCTGACGCAGTCACTAACTCCTCCCTTGGCCTCTTTTTCCTCATTTTTAAAACGAGTAACTTGGACAAGATAATCCACAATTTCCTTCCTGGATATATCTTTTTTTTTTTTTTTTTTGGAAACAGGGTCTTGCTTTGTTGCCTGGATTACAGTGTGGTGGCATCATCATAGCTTACTGCAACTTCAAACTCCTGGGCTCAAGTGATCCCTATTCCTCAGGCTCCTGAGTAGCTGGGACTATGGGCATGTGCCACCACAACCCAGCTAATTCTCACTTTACATTTTAAAAGCCTAGGTCTGTGCTATACAGTGTAATAGCTGGCTATTTACATTTAAATTAACTAACATTAACAATTCAGTTCCTTAGTCACACCAGCACATACAAGTCTCCACAGCCATGGATGGTTAGTGACTACTGAAATAAGTAAGACAGTGCAGATATAGAACATTTCTATCGTCAACCATCACAGTAAGTTCTATTGGACAGTGCCACACTAGTTAACTCCAGCATCTTCCTCTTTACAACCATTCTCTATATTTTGTTTTTTTTGTTTTTTGTTTTTTTGTTTTTGAGACAGAGTCTCACTTTATTGCCCAGGCTAGAGTGAGTGCCGTGGCATCAGCCTAGCTCACAGCAACCTCAAACTCCTGGCTCAAGCAATCCTCCTGCCTCAGCCTCCCAAGTAG